TTTCTTGATTTCCTTTCTAGGTTGCTTATCTTAGTCTTCCACTTTATTTACTATATCCTTTCCAAGAAAGCCATATAATATAGAAGAAAGACAAGTCTGGGTTCCAGCCTTGGCTCAATTTAATCTTGGGCAAATTACATAACCTCTCAGCCTCAGCTTTCTTGACTACGAAATGGGAATAATAAAGCCAAGCTCTGAGAGCTATTATGATGACTAAATTAAACAGCGTAGCTGGAACCTCTCTCTCAGTGCCTGGTATATTGTAGGCGTCCACAAATGTTAGATTCCCTTTTCCATTTCAAGCAAACCCTATTCATTTTATAAATTCTTTGGAAGGAACCCAAAGACTACCCATGAGACTTTCAATACTGGCAAGTGGAACTTGAGACCTTATCTCCCATTACTGTTATCTTCTGCCTTGTTGGGATTAAAACATCTAAGAAGAAATCTTTAGTGTGTAGGTTTCGGTCATGCCAAACGTCCCCTTTGAGGAGCGAGCCTCCTCACCATGCTCCGTGAAGGCTATGGAGGTATGACAGTCCTTGTACTATAGGTTCAGGCAAGTTACAGAAGTATGTGCCATCACTGGAGAGAGCTGTATCATTATACTCCTTTCTGAAAGTCTTTACCATCCCAAGTGAATGGGAGAGAGGAGGAGGGAGGCTGTCTAAGGTCCAGAACACAGAAGTTGTTGGGGAAGAAAAAATGGAAGAACGAAGTCCTGTTAGGTCCTTGCACAGTGTAATCAAAGTACCCAGCTGTCTCTATTTCAGGTGTTTTATGTTATTGCGTTGCATCATATTCGCTATTGAATCAACCAATGGTTAGCTATTCCATGAGAAAATGGTGAGCAATAGTGTAAGACAGGGAGAGAGAGAATATGAGAGAGAGGGACACACTGTTTTAGAGAAAGAAAACCATAAACTCGCAGGCAGAGAACATTGGTAATGAGGTTGCAGCTGTGTGGGTGCCTCAATGGCTGAGTTCACTGTGGGGTCAAAATGACAGCACCAGGGTAGCTCAAGAGACATGGAAAATGCAAAGTATTCTAAGTTATGAGAACCAACCTAAGACCTGGGACGGTGGAGGAAAAAAAGAGTCATTCCCATAGGGTCAAGTCCTGCCCATGTAAAGGAGGCATTCACTTCAAAGGGGAGCTTCACTTCAAAGCCACAGCCTTCAGGATGGAGGTCCTGGGCCACCATAGAGAGTTTTATTTGAGCTGAGAAATTGTTACAAGAGAAACAGGTGTCTCTAGCTCCTTCCTTTTTCTTTTTCTCTACCTGGCCTTGAGCACACCAGCCATCCTTCTCAGATTCTCTTTTAGGAAGTATAGAAGGGAACAAAAGCCAAAGAATGGCATTCTGTATTTGAAGCTCTTCCTTGAGTCCTTTTAGAATACGTTTGTTGATGATCAGAGAGAGGCATTAGAGTCATGGTCCTCAAAGTGTGAAACCCTGACCTACTGAATCAGAAATTCTCAGGTGAGGCTCAGCATTTCGTTTTGACAAGGCTTCCAGGTGATTCTGATGTCCTCTTAAGCTTGAGACCCTCCAGGTTAGAGCAGAGGGTTGAAAAATGCAGACTATATTATGCAGTTCTAATCCCAATTCTGCAATATTTGGTGTGATATCCAAGGGCTCTTACAAGGATCATGTGAGAAAATGCCTGTCCATAGGTATTTAACAGAATCAGCATCATAGCTGGCACATAGTAGATGCTATATGTGGACTTGGGGAGGGGGGTTGTGAATTTGTTTGTTGGAAGACTTTCCAAGAGAATTTGATTTTGCTTATCAAGACTCTCTCCACCTTGTTAAATGTCCTGTGTTCTGAACGACATGGTCTTCCTTATGTCCTGCTACTATCTAAAAAGCATAGAAAATGTTGCCTTGTGGGTACCCTGCTGGTGAGTGGAATGGCCCCACCAAGAAGAGTGAAAACATAGGCTGACTGAGGCCAGAGCTGCATTTTGTTTTTTGGAAAATGGGTGGAGGGAGTGGGAGTTACCCAGTTTTTTCCCCTTTGGCGACACTGTTCTTTCTGAACCCTGAGGAGTAATGAAGAGAGAAAAATGAACATTTTTGTGGTTCAATTGACATTAAAATGGGAAAAAGCACGTCACTGGAATTAGAATGTCCTGTTAAATTAGTCACATTTTCTTCTAAAATTAAAAGGTCTCTGCAAACTGGAAAAAGAACAAGCCTTCGATGACCTCATAACTCATTATTTCTAAGGAATAGACTTAATTCCCAGCAGAGATAAACCTGAAATCGATTTTCCATTTTTGTTGACCATTGACTGGCGGCCTTGAGAGTCCTTGTGAAGGAGAATACATACTTTTTGAGAGGTTGGCAGGGCTGATGGGGAGAGGGGGTTGCTGTTGTTGGTAACCTTGAGGGCAGCTGCTGAAGATCTATTTTCCTTCACAAGCTGTCCTGAGCCTCTCAGAAACTGAAGAAGAGGGACTTGGGCTGGATTTTTCATCATAAGACCTATCCAGCTGTACACACAGCCGCTATTGCAACTGAGATCCTCTTTCCAGGCCATTAGGAAAGAATGTGCCAGGCACCACCTGCTAATAAGGAGTGAGAGAGAAGGGCACTGGAGCCTTCATTGACAGGAGGATGGTTGTTAGAAAGAGAGTCTGCTCTGATGCTTTCAGGAACATTCTTTGCCCCCCGTCCCCCAGACCTCTGAGCTTGTGGTTCATCAGAGCTGTAGCTGAACTCTGAACTCTTAGCTCCTCCCAATGCCAGGATTATACCTATTCCTTATATCAGTGCTCCTTTCTGTGGTTAGACCAGAAAAAATATTCTCTGGATATGGTTCAAGTATCTTGCACTATGACAGAGTGGGTGAACACTGGAACCCTGTGTGAGTGACATCATAGTAATTACCCTGCCCCCCAAAGTCAATAAGCTAAGAATATAGATCATCACAGAATTCAGCAGTGACGACTAAGCCCCAAGCTCAGTGAAATGTCCGCTGATTTTCAAGCACCGTTTTCATTTTGAATTGACAGTTACCAGCTGTGCAAACACAAGATGATAGGAACGGAAGTCACGAATGAGCTGTACCTCAGAAAAATGTATAGTACTAAATTTAACGTTTTGTAACTTAATTCCACATAAATATGCTCACATTCATTTTTACAGCATTCATTAAATTGAAATTCTGCTCCAGGCAAGAACCAAATCATTTGTGGGTT